ATATACATTTAAATATATATCAGAAAAATATTACCCTGACTATAAAAACTCCATGGTTCAATCAATGTTTTGTTTTTTGAATATGTGAATATTAGTTTAATCAGGTTTGAATTACATTTTGTATATTTTTATTACAAAATATTAATGACGATGATCTAGTAACGAACATCACTAAAACTTGTTCAATACAAGTCTCAATCTACAGCCATGGAATCCAATATAGGCCCCCTACTACACATTGTTTTAACAAGATTGAAAACAAAGACCCTGTAATTGGAAGGTAAGTATATTAAATACTAACCTACGGCTTTGAGACGGTTCCCTTAATCCCGTTTGGAATATAAGTCCAAACATATTATATGCTGGTATCCTGTATGCTGATACGAGACTCAAAGCAAAATACACAATCAGATATTCACGTACAAGTTTATATTTATTCTTCTGTTTGTTGACAATATAGATGATAGAAAGTAATATATTTAATATATTAAGGAACTGTTTTTTAAATATATAACAAGAACATTATACAGTAATTTAAAACTTCTTTGTGCATGCATAAAATGTTCTAAACAGTCTCAGAACAGTTTTAAAATGGTCAAAAGTACCCAGTTTCTTTTAAGCGCCAGGAGATTAACAGCCAATAATCTCACTAGACCGTGACAGCTCAACTTTTGGAATGGCAAAAGGTTAACTTTCAAGCACAGTCGATTTTCGAGCACACTTGGTTTTACCACTGACTGACCTGCAGGTATTATATTTACAATATGTGTATTCAACCCGTATAGTATTATTATGCCTATTAATAAAAGGAAGAGTACAATAAACCTTTCTATTTATTTTTTACCAACATGTCTTGGACCCCAGGGGACTTTTCTGCTGACTACCAGTGGCGTCGAGAGTCAGTAAGGGCCCCGGGGCAACACCTCACATGCCCCCCCCCCACCTTCACTTGGGACCCCCACTCGGCCGCTCCCCAAATTAAGTCTCCTCCTAAGACCCTATTTGTCCAAATCCATACATGAATATGATTCCATGTGATTATTTTTTGCAATGTACAATATCAGAATAATCTGATGAATAAACGATAATAATTATATATATAATACACGTATATACATACCACTTTGCATGCAGTGAAAGGTACATATAAAATCAATCATAAAGATTAAGATCAGTATCATATTTTTCATCTTGGTCCGGGCCCCCCAGTAGACCCGGGCCCCAGGGCAGTGACCACCTGACCCCCCTCTCGACGCCACTGCTGACTACACATGGAAAAACACAGAAACATAGGTCTATTGGTACCAAATAGAGCATACTGAGTAAAAAAAAAAAAACTAAAGTAACAAGAAAATATGTAAAGTATACTGCATCACTTTACAAATATATTACATTCTATATAAGTGGAACTCATGGTTCCGTGGAGATCTTGTGATCCTCTGAATCAGTGGCATATCTAAAGCACCACCCTCACTGCGCCCTTCAGTCGTAGACTTCAGGTTCTATGGAGAACGCAACGCACACGACGAACACAACAGATCGTTTCTAATAACGATCCGTTCATAATGCCACCGACAATTAGCAGACGGCGTTACGTCGTCTAGCGCTCATAGGAACCGGAGTTGCATTCGTCGGCTGGTGCTCGTACATAACCGTCGTACGTAACATTATACAAGTACAGGTTAGTTAAATCACTAAAATTCCCACAGTATAAGGTTAGCACTACTTACTTTCACTCACTCCAAGTCAGCACCCCACCCCCTTCCTTTTTCATCACTATTTCAATTCTCCTAGATATATCACACTGTGTATTTTATAATTTGTTATACAAATACTAATACCATCTCGATTGCTATACCTGAGAACATAATGCACAGACAATACACCTTGCTATCAATTCATACAATTTTGACAAAAAATATATAAAAATACAATAAAAATTTACACCTGTAGCATATTGTAAATTGCATAGAAACCACAGTATTTACATAATCTAATATAACATTATTGTAGATAGATAAATAATAATAACCGTAAGGTCCACTGATTAATCTCAGATAAGTATCAAAATGCACGCCATCGTGTCGGGATTAAATATTTCGACATTAATTATGTCATCATCATCATTCCTGATGATGACATAATTAATGTTGAAATATTGAACCCCGACACGATGGCGTGCATTTCGATACTTGGAGTATGTATTATGCTATCTTAAATAATAATAACTGTTTTCGATCCTTGACACTGTCCTCCTAATTTCTGTACTTGGACCAGTCGACAGTAGGAATCTTGCCCTGTTGTTGCAGACGCTCCAGGACAGCAAAGTGACAGAATTCATATTGCTCCGGTGTCTGAATACTGAAGGCACGCTGTCTTCGCATTTTACGTACTGTGTCGTAAATATTCAACTTTTGAGTGGCTTCAAGACGGGATAAAGATATATCTATGGCACAGAATGTTCCTGAAAAAAGAATATTATGGTAATGGTAGACATATTACTTTGTAGGGGAAAAAATGACGAAAGGCTTTACAACCTCTTCACATTTTTTTGCCAAAGAAACCCAACAACTGCAAGGGGTAAAAATGGGGGAAGGGGTTAAAATGGAGGAAGGGGTAGTAGAGAAAAAGAAATTATGGTTACCTACCTGTTCTTCCAATTCCTGCACTGCAGTGAACCAAGATCGGAGGTCCACCAGGATGACCAGTCCAGTAGGATCCCATGGACGCCACTGCTTCTCTCTGGTTCTGGCGAATTTCATCACGAAATTGCAGAATTGTAGCAGCTGAGGTGGGAACACCAAAATCTGGCCAACCAGTAAAGTGGAAATGAGCTACATTCCTGCACATACCAATCTGTAATGGTAATTAGGAATGATTGCTGCTACTATATATTCTGGGCTGAGGTAAGAAAATGTATTATTATGCATCTCTAGATTGCCGGAAATGGCACTCTCAGACTTAAATTTGAATATCATTTCTTTTTTTTTCAATTTTTATTATAATTTTGAAAAATTAAAATATTAAAGATATAAAAAAACCTTGGAGTTGTTTACAAGCAACGTTGTAACAGTATAATCATTCTTTATGTCTACTTTCAGATTATCAATGGTAAAGTCTCCAAATTTTAAAGTGAGGTGTGGTGCTGTAGGCCAATACTGACTGCATTTGGTAAGTCCTCGCTCTTCTGTTTGTGTTGTCATCACAATCACAAAGACATTTTCCTGCCAGATCATCTTCCAGAAATCGTTCACTGTATTTGGCAGTGGTCCTATCAAGTCAAAATTATCATTGTACTGTTAGAAACTATCTTTTTGTATCTATATCAATCATTCTATCCACTACACATGCACACATAAACTTTTTCACTCAACTATCCATCAATCTATCGATCCATTCATCCATCCATACAACCATTCATTCATCCATCAAATCATCCATCCATCCATCCAACCATCCATCTTTCCACCTACCCATCCATCCATCCATCCACCCACCCACCCACTCACCCTGTCTCTTTATTTAAGCATTCAATTTTCAGTGCTGTAACATAGCAAATATTGTGACGGAGATGATGATATACATATAGATGTGAATCTTAGTAAATTTAAAAAATAGATTGTATTATTTAAATATAGGATAATGCACATTGAACAAACGGGTTTCTAACAACATAAGTCGTATCAATTACCATTTTTATTTTATAGCTGTTTCTGAGAAAAGAAATCATCAAGAAATCATCTCCATCACACTTTGTTGTGACGGAGATGATGATATACTCATAAATGTGAACCTTAGTAAATTTAAAAGATAGATTATATTATTTAAATATAGAAAAATAAACATTGAGCAAAAAGGTTTCTAACAACATAAACCAGATCAATTATAATTGTTATTATACATTCTTTTTTGAGGAAAGAAATCATCAAGAAGTCATCTCCATCACAGTAAAATTGTGATGGAAATGACTGTGACGGAGATGAGGAATTAAACTTCTTAGATCATATAGTGCCATATGCAGGGTGTTACAGGGTGAATGTCATGTGTACTTTGAAAATGACACAGTTCTGATCGTATATAAAATTATTTTTTTCTAAAAAAATTATAAATAAAGGATACTCTGAAGCGTTCGGAGATGATGCTGAATAAAGGTACTTTCCTAGTTGTTATTAGAAAAGCATGAATTCTTCAGCTATAGGTGGTTTAACTGTACAAGAATGGACTGTTTCTTACTGTATGGTTCCCTTCAACCAAAATGGTTTGATTCATAACTTGTTATGCCATTTTGCTAACAGCTATAATGGCATTTTAAAGTATTGTGACGGAGATGATGACAATTCAGTGACAAACTTTTTTAGTCTAAAAAGGTCAAATTTTAAGTATTTATAGATCTATTGATGTCATTTTTAATTTTAAATTTGAGACATCTATTGTATTTACCTTTTTGTGGTACATTTATTTATTTAAGTTATTTATTTTACAAATTATGACATTAGGAATTTTTAAGAAATCCAATCGGGACATGCAAAGTGCGCGACTTTGGAGGCTTTTTGATGAAAAATAAACAGCATGTTGATTACTTTTAAAATATTTAACAAGTTATTTCATTAACAAATATGTTCGAGATTGCATTAACGCAATAAAAATAAAACTTCCTTTAATATTTTAAAATTTATACTACATCAAAACAGAGGGACGGGAAAATGGCACTTTACCGAAGAATGACCCATTAACCATCCATATAACCATACATCCAATCTTCCATAAAACCATCCATTTGTCCATCCATCAATGATCCACACTCATCAATGATTTACACATGAAACATTAATGTATAACATACATACCCTGTGCTGCTATGAAGGCATGTTTTTGCATGAATCCATCAACATAGTTAGCATTGATGTAGTCTGAGGACAAATCATGTGATGTCTCTAGCTTTACTCTGCTGTGATCAAAACAGGGAACATTGCTGTAACGATTCTTTGACAGGTTGTTGCTGTTCCTACAGGACACAACAGGTAATTGTACAGCATCAAATTTCAGATTCTCTGCTAAATTACAAGACTACAAGACCTTAAGATTGTTCCAACCTGAATTCAATCAGAGCAATCTTAGCAGCCAATTTTAACTATAATCAACAAAAGATTATTCAAATATATATTTATTCAACAAATAAAAACGATGACAGTAGTGTAGTCTGATGTTGTTGGCCAGACATGTACAATTATAAAATTAATTTTGCAGGCTTGTTTGATGCAATGGGTGACAAAAGGTTTAAGTCCGCTACTAGCGCTGCCACTGGTGGCAAAGATCCTTAGTTATAGTTTAGTCTACAGCATAAAAAGCATGCCGACCATCCCTGATGCCAAGTGCTACTCAACACAATTATTTTGCCTTTACCACCTAACAAATCTTCAATGAAGTAGACATTAGTTGTTTTTACCTTGAGTATGAGAATGATCCTGAGGGCATCTCAGTTGATACCGCTTCATATTCTTTACTGATCCCATGTTGTTTGATTGTCTCCATGTGCTTTAATAGCTCCATTGGTGTCATTGTTCCTTTGTCATCCAGACGATGTATGCCTTCACTGCCACGAACCGATTTTGACACCCGTGGTGATAGTATACAAGCATCTCCTTTTGAATTCTAGGATAAGAAAAGATGGACATTACAAGGTCCCAAGCCAGAAATGACTGGCTGCCTCAACCAATAATTTTTCAATAGGACTATTGCTCCACATCTGGTGTAATAGCATTGAAACTGATGCTTCTTGTGGATGTCTTCCAAGAAATCAGTGTGGTGTCTGGCACTCTGGCAAGCAAGTTAAAATTAACTAACCCACAGCCTTAAATTTAAAATATTTGCTTCCTATGTCAGCAGATCATTTTATCAATAAGTTAGAGCAGCAAAATACAAATATGTGTTAAGAAAGTTCATTCAACAAGAGCCAAGGTGGTTTCTCTTAACATTGGACCCACATCAAGTCCCTTGTTATACTGCTGCACATCTGTAAACTTCAGTACAATTCAGGCCAGATATTATTACAATAATATAATATTAAATTTACAGCTGAAAGTTATTAAACTTTAGTTCATTATCACATAATTATGACCAAGAGTTATACTTAGAAACTAACATTCTGGGTCAAAATTGATTACACTTTGGCTATATAGGACCAGAATTTAGGACCTTTTTGTTATTGTTAATGTTACATTTAGGGCTAAAGTTAATAATATAACTTTTTTTTAGGGCCAAAGTTATTGTGACAATTAAAAACTTTATAGCGATAGGCCTATACTTAAATAGACTAAAAAATACAATTGCAGAATTATTTAAATGCATTTATTATGAGAGGCACTAATGCCCTCATATACATGCCAACACATTCTAAACATTGATAGACAAATAGGCCTACAAAACGTTAAGAAAAAGAGTTAGAATACAATAACATTCGGGTTTGCGAAATGTATGCCACCCGTGGTGCCCCGAAGACCGAACCGGCCTTAGGTACTGCACCTAGCAACTGTATAAAATTAATATTATATTATACAGCACATACATAAAGTTAGGCCTAAAGAAGCCTAACCATAGGCCTACGTCCTGGGGCAGCGAGCCTGGGCAAAAAGGAGTTGAGCACCGTCATGTTTACATTGAATACACACCTTTTCTGATAATTTCGGGCCCATGTCAGTATCATCTTGAGTTGTGTGTGTATTATATATATACATTACACCAAGAAGTAGAACTGAAATAACTAAAATAACATTCGAGTGTCTGGTTACGGTGCGCCATATTTGGCTAAATTTCATCATGCTAGAAAGAATGGAATGTCATAAAAATACAACTTTAAATCATCCATGCTGCGTTAGTTGTATTAGATTACGTTACGTTTGTTCTGGTTTGCTTGGTTTGTTTACCATTATGCTGCCATCAACGGCATCATATGCTGCTTCATATACAGTAATTATAGTCCAGCAAACTTTGGTTGGTTGCATTTTTTTTTGCTATGTTTTAAAAAAAATTGATATGATGTAGAGTAGACATAGATAAATCAAAAAAGTATGTGCAACTTTTTTTTTTTCATACGTAAGAGGGGTTGTCAGCAGTTTCAAAATGGCCGCCAATTTTTCCTAAAATTGTCACTAATATTGTAAATTTATGTCATTAAAATGCATATTCAATTGGGGTTGGAAATCCACTCATAACAATGACAACAACAGTTAACTAAATATTGTACACATTTCAGAGCTATTACAATTTAAAATGGCTGCCATTTTCCATTATTTTAGCTTTTTTGATTTATCTATGTCTACTCTACATCATATCAATTTTTTTATATATATAGCAAAAAAAAAATGCAACCTCTGATATTGCTACATTTCGGACTGGACTAAATAACTCTTTGGTAATGATAAAATATTTAAAAAAAATCTAAAGCGCCTAAAAAAAAATTTTTTTTTAATTATCAAAGCGCTTTCAATCTCCTTACAAACAAGTCAGCTTTAAGAACTTCTTTAAATTTTTCCAATGAATTTGATTCCAAGGGATTTCCACTTGGTTATATCTCACAGCATAATATAAGACAGTGATATCGTACTGAGCTTTATTGAGAGTACCTTGGCACATGTTCCTTTAAAAAAAGGTGACAGACTGAAGTGAGAGAAGTGGGCAAAAATGCTTGATAAGAACGAAAAAATGTACTTTATTTGTATTTTCTCTACGGGCGAATAAAAAGACATTCTCCTCATCCATCCTATCGATCATCCATCACATCCATATTTAATCAGCCTCATCTGTCGCATCATCATTATCCTCCTCCTTATCATCATCATCCATCATATCGTCATCGTCCATCATCACTTACATCCGCAATAAATATTATAGGCCTCGTTTAAATTGTCGGTTAACGTAAGCCTATTTTTCCATGTACCTGACCCTAAACAGTGACATTAAAGGCCACGCCCAAATGACATTAATCATGTGAAGAGAGACACGGATGATTTCTTTTTTATTGGCACTATTATACATTGGGGGTAACATAAATACCAATGACAGCAACTTTATCCTGTACATAAGCCCAGACAGCAGCCCTAGGTTCCCAAATGGACTTATTTATAGTATGATATGGTCGAATCTAATAATGATTAGAGATAGTAGAATGCAAATGAAACACCTGATTATGACACAGACAGTGGTTCTGGAGATCAACTTCACAATAAAACAGGAATTAAGTGAAGGATGGGACCATTTACACTGGAACTTTAAAACATTGGAAAGAAAATCCAATTGACAGCAACTACTACTTTAGCTATAGATTTCCGTTTGATAATAAAATTTTGTAAAACACTGACTTCAGATGAAATACAACAATACCATAATACAAACTCAGTAACAAATATTTATTAGATCGGATTAAACTACAGAACATGAATTGTCTATACATGATAAATGGTACAGCGTCAAGGTGTATTTCAATCAGATTGTTGAAAAATATGTAATCATAGGATTCGAACCTGGTAGCACTTTATTGACTAACATTATAAAATGTATTAACTTTTGGACAGCAGTCTCTTCTGGGTTACAGATGTAACAGCATTATTCTATAGTTAGTCAGCAAAGCAAATGTAAAATTCAAAACTGGTATCGCTTTAAAAGCTTTCTTCTTCTACTATTACAACAAATGTATCTATATGACTTTAATATATTGCATACACAATTGAACTGCGGTATTGTACACTGCGGTAACAATGTGTTTGTAGCAGTACGATACAAAGCACAAGCAAGAAACACTTAACTGATAGTTAAACTATCCCCCGCCGAACCCCATCCCGGTATTTCTGAGTCTAGGTTTCGGGGCTAGAATCTATGGAAATACTTCCATTTTGTCCTGCATTTGTAATAAAACAATAAATACTTAAAAACTTAAACTGAGGTATTGTGCATTGAAGTAATAACATGTTTAAAGCTGTACATAAGCAAAAACAAGAAACACTTAATTAATAGTTAAACTATCCCCCGCCGGACACCATCCCGGTATTTCTGAGTCTAGGTTTCGGGACTGAAATTTTACATGAACCAAGCACAGTATCTGATGCAAAGCTTCTTGATGATGTCGATTCTGATACAGAGCTTCTTGATGATGACAATATGGATCATGGAGGAAGTGAAAGTAAAAAGTCTGAGATTACATATTTTGACACTGAAATTGATTATGCTGACCATCTATGGAGTGATGACAGTGATATTGAATGTGAAGATGATGATTAGAACATGCTAACCTTATAGCATAACATTACCAGTTACTAAATTGGTACATTTATTTGTTTATATAATAAATTCAAGAAAAAAAAATTAAATTAATCGCAATTAAAAATCCAGCCCTGAAACTATTAGTTAAGTGTTTCTTGTTTTGCTTAGTACAGCTTCAAACATGGCTCTTATACACATCTAGATGTGTATAAGAGACAGGTACATAAGCCCAGACAGCAGCCCCAAGGGACCCAC